CCCCAGTTATTTTTTCGGGCGAAATATTTCTGTTTTCGGGCCGAAATATTTGTGTTTTGGAGGCAGACTACCGAAATTTGGTATGGAAAATTGCGGGAAAGTCCCACGAAAGCAGTGACAACGTACTTGTCCGGAAAATTTTTTTACCTAAAAAGAAATTGTCCGAAATTTTTTTGCAATAGGCGCCCCGAAATTTTTTTTGCCCCGGGCCCCCGCCAAGCTCTCGGCGACCCTGGTCGTAGGTTCGATTCCCACCGTGGCCAGGCATATTTTTCAAGCTTGCCCGATGTGCATGTACTGGTCACTCAGAGTAACATCACAAACAATCGTATTCACCTGAGTACACCAACGCAGAAAATATTTTACAAAATGTTCTATTTTGTCGAACATTTCCACGGAAACCATTTTCAAAGACTTGACAAAAGTGAAACTCATTGGACGAAATAAAACATATTGTAAATAAATAACCTAGATGAATTTCGGTGGCACAGTTGTCATCGCAAGCGCCTTTCAACTCTGAGTTCGTGGGTTTGATTCTCACTAACTACGGACTCATGTGGAAAGAGTCAGTCAACGCTCTGCCGAAAGTCGTGAGTTCTCTCCGGGTGCTCCTGTTTCCTCCCACAGGGAAAGTTGACAGGGTGGGTTAGGATAAACACAGTTAAGAAAGTAGTATCACAATTGTTGTAAAGTTAAAGTAATCTAGGCTAAGTATGTAATTAGGTAAGCGTAACACTTGATGTAAAGCGCATTTGATCCGCATGTAAATTTGCACTATAGAAATGCTAATCGTAATGAACAATAGACAAACAAATTACCACACCAGAATTCAAACCCTTCAGTGGGCAATGTTGAATCTCGTGACGATTTACATAAGATTCAAATGAGCATTTTTCATCTTCAAGGGTCTTCAGAATCCCGATGCAATGTATCGACTGAGGTCGTTGCTTATATTTCAACATGTTGTGAAGATGATGGCTTCGAAAAGATTGTGCACAGATAAAGAAAACTTTAGAGAGGTATTTATAACACTTGGGCGAGAAATTTGTTTCTGTTAAGTAAATCAAGTAATTCAAATGTGTTCTGTGCGCGTTTCAAATGCGTTTCTACGTGCGTTTCAAATGCGTTCCGTGTGCGTTTCAAATGCGTTTCGTGTGCGTTTCAAATGCGTTCCGTGTGCGTTTCAAATGCGTTTCGTGCGCGTTTCAAATGTGTTCGTGTGCGTTTCAAATGTGTTTCGTGTGCGTTTGAAATGCGTCCCGTGTGCGTTTCAAATCCGTTCCGTGTGCGTTTCAAATACGTTCTGTGTGCGTTTCAAATCCGTTCTGTGTGCTGATGATGATAATAATAATAATAATAATAATAATAATAATAATAATAATAATAATAATAATAATACTGCGTTTTAATAATTTCTTTTCAATCACGCACTTTTGGCCAAACTTTTTCTGTCTCACCACCTTTTTGTTCTTTTTTGAGATAAAATTGCCACGCCGAATTTGAGTAATAACCAAAGAATAAGAATTCAGATTCCAGCGATATTGCATCATAAAACACAATGTTCCTGTCATCAATATCGTGGGTTTTCCCATACATCTCCATCTTTTTCTGCGTCGTAGGATCTGGACTTTTATGATAAACACGGGCTTTCAACTTGTAACCTGGAGCAAATTTCATAATCATATCCACAGCATTACCTTTAGCTTCAATATTATCGTTGTAGTTCTTTATCTTGTTCATGTTGCTGTGTATTACCAGAGGCTTGCTAGGGTTATTCTGATCAATGGCCACAAAGATATCACAGCCACCAAGTGGAGATGTAAAAAACCATTCTGCTCTGGTTGGGTCCAAAAACATAAAGGTATTCGTGTTATCTACTTGTAAAAGAAAGAACGCTTGATTATCGTTATCCTCGGGCTTGCTCTTTGGAATAACGTTGATGATCGTGTTTTTAGAATTGTCAAGGACTACTAGGCAGCTCATATCTTTTGGAATAATTTGTATGCCAATGGTTTCTGCTGGGATATCACTATTTCCCTTCACAATATACCTTTCGCGGTTCTTTTTAATCGCAGACCAAGTGCTAAACTCTTTGTAATCCGGATATAGTTGACAATCCTTTGAGACGACCAATTCAGTTTCTTCTGTTCCTTTCCCTAAAAGATTTTGCAATGCGTTTATTTCCTGCTTTTTACCACTGGAAAATACACCACCGCCAGCGGACCTCATCACGGCAAAATTCAGGAAAACAAGAACGCAAAAAAATACAACGGCTTTCATGTTGATAGTTAAATACAAGTGTCACTGCTTCTTCTAATATCAGTGCAATTGTGCATGTAGATGAAATGAAACCGCTGGTGATCACGACTTTTTAGGTTACTAGAGCCAACAGGTTGTTTGACAATTGCATTACGTTAAGGGATGATCTATAATAGACCTCAATAAATTGAGACCTTGGTAAATTTAGCACGTTTAAGCCTCGACAGGTGTAATTGTTCTTGTTCATTAAAGCATTGTTGGCCGGAAATTGTCTATTCGTTCTCAACAGGTGTCTACACTGAAGCGATTAATTCACACCGGACCCCCAAACATCGAGGCATTTTATATAGTTCGTTGTCTTGTGATTTTTTTTAGTTTAAATGGGTTTGAATTTTAGCAAGCTATTTCTTGGGAGTTTTAGCTTCTCTCTCTCTAATTTGCCCAATTTTTGGGTGTAGTTTTTCACAAGTTATACTCTGTTTTGGGCCGTTACTGAAACAACTAGGATTTATATTCTCAGAATCTCAGTTAAGCTATCTTGTGTCAAAGAAATATAATGGGCCTTTTTATAGCAGTCGCTTTATTTTATTGAAGGTTTTGAAGATTTTTGAATAAATGGCGGGGTAATCCTCAAAACCTTCAATAAAATAAAGCAACTGCTATGCCAGCTATTGTTTTCGTGGCCCCTTTAGAGATGGGGGCACGGGGCAAAGTGCTCCCTACTTCTATGCGGCCCTGTGGTATCCGAAATGGAATTACACTAAACAAAAATGAGTGCTATGCGCGCAAAATATAACAGTATTTAACCAGAGACTAGTGTCAAAGTCACCTAACGCTTGCGTGCGTTTAGTAACATTGGCGAGTTTAATGCAAATATTAGTAATATCATGTCCTAGACTGTCGTGCGACAAGTTTGCAGTCAAAATTGTTGCTATTACTATTATATCCTCTTTTGATTCTAAAAGGAAATATGTGTTTTGATACTACTCAATGTATAAGTTTAATACATTACTCTGAACATCACAGTCGCTATGCTATAAAGTACGATATTTTATCGTAACTTTCCGAAAGCTTGACTAGAGTATGTTCTATATTGAAATGCCTATATTTATAATACCATATTTCAAACAATAATTCATAAGCTTATTGGCAAATCATGTCAACCATAATATGTCACGTGCAGTGTCTTTAAACTTGATAAAACACTCCTATAATTAGTATATAAAGAATACTAATACGGCAGTATCTATTGTAGTCGTGTTCTCATTAGTATTCTTTATATAAAGACTACTAACAAGGCAGTATATCTATTGAATTTGTAGTCGTGTTTGAAGCCGTTTAATAAACTCGCAGGTCGTGTTTTATTAGGTCATCATTTTATTGTTGTTGATTTAGTACATTAGATAAATCTACAAGTCCTATTTAAAAAACGAGCGGGAGTGTTTTATTAGGTTAAAAATCTTTATATAAAAATCTTTATATAAAAATCTTTATATAAAAACCTTTATATAGTTTGCATAACAATGGTCTTTTGTTAAAGTGTTCTTTAGCTGGTATAAAGACGTATGCACGTGACTAATTTCTTACTCAAGATTGGATAATCGCTTCATGAATTATTAATTATTTTTTTGAATGTAGTTTAATAATTTCTAGTACTGCGTTTTAATAATTTCTTTTCAATCATGCATTTTCTGTCTCTGTCGCTTTTCACACAACTTTGTATGTCTCACCACCTTTTTGTGCTTTCATAAAAAATGCCACGCCAAATTTTGAATAATAACCAAAAAATAAGAATGAAGAATTTATGCTGACGCTACAAGGCAGTTTTCCACTAGGGCTAGGCGGAATTTTCCGTGTGGAGCGGAAGTTTTCTTTGTCTTTTCTGATTAGTTCCACCCGAGAAATCACAAAACAAAGAAAAATTTCGTATAAATCTCGTAGTGGATTTTTAAAAATCTTGTAAAGCAAAACTCATCTACTAGAAAATTTTTGTTATTATTTTTTTATTATTAATTTTTTTTATTATTTTTTTATTATATAAGTTTTTTTTATTATTTTTTAAAATTTTGTTTTTAAATTTTTAATTTTTTTTTTACAAAATGGCGTAAGAAGGTAGTGAGTTTTTTCAAATAACGAATCTGGTAGTCGTACACGTGCTCGTTGTCAAATCTAGAGCTCTCTAAGTATCTTGAGAAGGAAGGGCCCTTAGTAAATTTAGCACGATTAAGCCTCGACAGGTCTAATTGTTCTTGTTCACCAAAGCGTTGTTCGCCGAAAACGGTCTATTCGTTCTCAACAGGGTGTCTAATCACTGAAGCGATCAAATTGTGCAGCAGGTGCCAAAACTATTCTATGCTAGTATGGGGTATAAGCGACCTGAATAAAGTGGTGCAAATTCCCGCGCGGAACACAAAATTTGCAAATTTCCCAGGGCTATATTTTCCTCATTTTACAACCCAACTTTGCAATATTACAAATTTTAACGTGCTCTTTCTAGCTGTGGTGATGGATTTTGTTCTTCTTGCTTAGATCAAAATTTAGTCTATTGCTGGAATTGCCCATTTGTCTTTTTCGTTTGCCTGACTCCATTATAATCGCTATGATTACAACGGCGTACGAAGGCGTATACTTTTGCTTGTCTGCGCATTATGTTGCTGTAGTTTTGGAATGATCAATAAGTGGTATTGCATTTTAATTTCATTTTAATTAATTGGCGTCAAGTGCATTTGATTTCATGTTGACGATGTGGAATGTATAATCTCTATGATTACGACAGCGTACGAAGGCGTATACTTTTGCTTGTCTGCGCATTATGTTGCTGTAGTTTTGGAATGATCAATAAGTGGTATTGCATTTTAATTTCATTTTAATTAGTTGGCGTCAAGTGCATTTGATTTCATGTTGACGATGTGGAATGTATAATCTCTATGATTACGACAGCGTACGAAGGCATATACTTTTGCTTGTCTGCGCATTATGTTGCTGTAGTTTTGGGATGATCAATAAGTGGTATTGCATTTTAATTCCATTTTAATTAGTTGGCGGCAAGTGCATTTGATTTCATGTTGACGATGTGGAATGGTTATATGGTGAACTATTTTGAACAAATTCAGACACAGGTATGTGGAATACTTTATAATTATATTTGTAAGTGGTGTGCAATTTCTCAGTGTTGAAACATCACAACTAATTTCTAACAATGCATTCATGAAGTAGACAAATGCTTTTGTCATATCGTAGGGTGAAAATATTGGCGAGGCGCAAGAAGCTTGTATGTTGTCCTCCAAAGGTAAAGGTGTAACCGAACAAGCTTGCAACAGGAATGCAACTAACTGGAAAATATAAGGAGAATTTCGACGTTTCGAGCGAAGGTCCTTGTCTGCAATTCCAGTAACTCCACTTCCAGTTACTCTACTTCCAGTAACTCTACTTCCAGTAACTCCACTTCCACAGTAACTCCATTTCTACAGTAACTCCACTTCTACAGTAACTCCACTTCTACAGTAACTCCACTTCTACAGTAACTCCACTTCTACAGTAACTCCACTTCTACAGTTACTCCACTTCCACAGTAACTCCAGACGAAGGGCCTTGAAGCTAGAAACGTCGAAATTCTACTGATATTTTTCAGGTAGTTGCATCCCTACCAACGAAAGCTTGTTTATATTATTAGGCACTACGCGTATACACTGGCAAAGACAGTTAAAGGTGTAACCGTCTCATAGACCTTAAGCTAGAGACCTTAAGATCTTGGACGTCCCATAGACCTTAAGCTAGAGACCTTAAGATCTTGGACGTCCCATAGACCTTAAGCTAGAGACCTTAAGATCTTGGACGTCCCATAGACCTTAAGCTAGAGACCTTAAGATCTTGGACGTCCCA